TAAGGGATCTGAATACAGAGTGAGCGCTGCCTCCATTCTCAGACTCCTGTTGTCGGGAAATTATTATAATTGTCCCTATTTAAACAAGGTATTGGTGGCTCACGCCTGTAATCCTAGCTACTCAGGAGACTGAGATCTGAGGATCATAGTTCAAAGCCAGATTGGGCATACAAATCTGGAAGACTCTTATTTCTAACCAACTAGCAGAGAAAGCTGAAAGTGGAAGTATGGGTAGAGCACCAGCCATGGTAGAAAAAGCCAAATAGGTACAGTCCCACACGCGCACACACACACACACACACACACACACACACAAACTTTATTGAACTTCTATTATGTGCCTGATGCCTGGTCTGTTCCTAAATTAGTTTATTTAACTCTCACAACCAGAGAGGTACTCTTCTATTCACTATTTTAGAGTCTAGAAGATTGAGACTGAGTAAGGTGGGGAAGACCATAATTTGGACGTCATACTTTTTTTTGTTTGTTTTTTTCTGGAGTGTTCTTATCCTCTGTCTTCTGAGGCTGGTTCTGACCTCTCAGGTCACAGAGTCCATCTTGCTTCTTTATAGGTCTCTCTGCTCAGCCTTTGTTAGAGTGTCTCCTTTCTTCTTCTCAGTATATTCCCTTCACACTGCTTATTACAAGTTAGTCTAATGTCCTTGCTTTTTTTTTTTTTTGTCTTTCTGACTAGAGTTTAAGTTCCATTATGGCAGGAACCCTTTCTGTCTTATTTAACATCCTATTCTCAGTGCTTTGCTCCAGAAATGTCTATCAGTGAATAAACTATTGACTTCAGTGGTCAATATTTCTAAGTTGTCCTGCTATATAAACAATGTATAGTATTATGCCATCTAAGAATAATACTGCATTATAGTTTCAGAGTATTTGCCCCAAACTTATTTTTCTATATAGTCCCAGAAAGTTTTTTTTATAATAACAAATTTCTGAGTGAATGCATATGTCTCAAGAGGCAAGAAATAAACCCATTGTTATAGAAAACCAATGTGAGTTGACACACACACCAAAAATACACCAGTGTGTATTGTTGGAAAAACATTTAATGCAACTCAGTGTCAAAATTTTTTTTACAAAAATATGCCACCGTCTGGTACAAACAACTATAAAAAATCAGTTCATCATGCAAGAAAGTGTGCAAATAATTTATACAGGATTCAGCTCACACAATATTAAATAAACATCTTTGCATGGAATTGGTCTAACTGTATGCTTCTAGTTACAATAAGCAACCCATTCTAACATTTTTTCCCCCAGAGCTGAGGACTGAACTCAGGGCCTTGCACTTGCCAGGCAGGCGCTCTTCTGCTGAGCTAAACCCCAGCCCCTCTAACATTTCTTATCTCAAAAGTACATTAAAGCTTTGAAGCCTAGCTCATGGACTATAAGATACACCCTCTTCAGCCAGGGGTGATTGATGTTAGGGTAAAGATGATGCCAAAGCCTTCCAAACACAGAGCAGGGCTTGGACTATTCTGTTGAACAGACTTATGCATCATTAGTTAAATCATATCTACACTCAGAGAAGAGTCATGTTCAAACTCTAGTAGTAATGCTGGAACAGATGGAGTTTGAAAAAAGTTCCTAGTGTTGTAGCAGCCATCCATTTTTGACCAAATGGCGCAGGGCCTACATTTAGAGAGATTTTTCAGGAAAGTTTGTTTATTGAGTTCAAGGAGACTCAACAGTCAAAGTCACAAATACCATAGCCTCTTGCTCCTCACTGCCTCCTGGGATAAACTCTTTGCTGAATGAAGATGAGGTTTAAAGAAATGAACTTCTATTGCATAAAAACTTACTGGATCTTACAGCTGGTACTAGAGGCGGAAGAGATGGGATGGATGGTGTACAAGTACTTAGGACCTGCTTGCTAACCATCCCAACCTCATGTTTCCAGAAAACATGCTTTTTCCCAGCTCTTAGTTTTTTAACGGTCACTTTTGTAATTACAATGTAAGTACCCAAGAGAAAAAAATGAATTTTCAAAATATATTGCTTACTTAAAAAAAATGTGTCCTGAGATAAAGTCTCAGTATGTAGCTCCAGCTGGCCTTGAACTCTGGATCCTCCTGCCTTAGCCTCCCACACACTGGGATTACAGGTATGCATCATCATGCTTAGCCTGTGGCTTACTTTCTAGCAAGTAGGTTGCCCTCACTAGAACACTCACAATAGAGTCAGAAGTCTGTGAAAACATTAAATGGCTCCTTAACTTCTCCAGCAAAAAATCAGGGGCTTAAAAAGTTTGGAAGACTTAATGGCAATGCTCATCGTGGGGTCTTCTGTCATGCCTCTCACAGTGAGGATCCTAAGACCAATCACATCACATATGTGATATGGAGATAAGCAGTCTAGACCTCGGAAAGCCCTAGGTTTCTGTGAAGATCTGTAACTGAGTCCTTACCTGGGGAGGTGAGGTCCAGGGTCATCTTCTATATAAGCTGCTTAGGCCATTCTGTCTAATAACCTTTCCTGGTCTAAAGTTAGCCTGGGGTAGGAGTTTCCATCATTTAGAAATCTACAAAGCAGGGGAGAAAAATCTACAAAAAACCCTAAGACTAAAGGAATTATGACCTTGTTTGTTGAAGCCATCAAGGACTCAGGATATATCTAAGAGTAACATCTCTGCATTTGCCAAGGTGCTCAGGGTGTTTCTGAGGTCTGGTTAAATACTGAGAGATTTCAGGCCAGCATCCAGTCAGAAGAGATGGTTCCCAGACTCAGTTGAAAATAGATAAAAAAAAGACCACAAAACCCAACACATGTCAACATAGAAAATGATAGTTTAGTTTTAAAAATGCACACATAAAATGAACAGTTGAAAAAAATTACACATAAAATGTAGAGTGGTTGCATAGCAAGATATTATTGCCCTATAGCTTGGCAGAAAAAATATAAACTCAGGTGCACATTTTATAATAAACATTGTATTGAATGCTAAGAAGGAAACATAGTTGAGCATCTCTTACAACGGTTTACCACCTTGTAAATCGTATCACTTGCTTAGACAAATGAAATTCCAAGCTCTCGGCTCCCATAGTAAGAAACAGAAACAAGGAACGTGTGTTAAGAGCAAGCTCCTTACGCATGAGCGCTGTGGCAGAAACAATATACACCCACTGCTTCATGTCCCAATGTGTTGTGTTGAAATTTTTGCTGTGCAAATGCCCTCCATCTATCTCCTGCAAGCTGTTTCAGTATGAATTGAGCATCACTAACCAAGTGTCATCTCACCACTGACACACTGGAGGTTTTATGTTGCATCTTCTGTTCCTTTTTGCTACCTGCTCTCCCATTCAACTGATTGACCTGCTCAAAATAAGTGTTAAATGATGTAATCAAAACGTCATTGTCCTTTCCACAAGTTCTAGATCTTTTTCTCAGGACACTTGACTTATTGCCCTTGGACCTTTGAGTTAACATCCAGGATTTACTGTCCTTCCTTGGAAGTTTGGATTATTCTGAATAGACATCAATGTCAAGTTCTGCTTCTTGGGGTTTAGGATGGGAGTTGGTAGGTACAGTAGAGAAAACAACATCCTATCTCCTCCAGCAACTTCTATCCCCTTGCCCTTCCTTGCCTTTCTGACAAGGATTCTTAGTTTATTATTTTTATTTTTTAGATCAGGTAGTCCTAGGTGGGTTTGCCATGAATGTCTATAGATGATGAATGTCTTAGTAGTAACAATTTTCAGCTCCCTTTTCTTAAATGTAAGGTTTTAGCCATTGTTAAAAGAAATCACATGGCCTACCACAGATATTCTGCCATCTCTACTCTTTCCATTGTCCCCACACAAACCACATCTAAGGTCCATCATATCTGTTCCATTCCCTCTCCCTCTCCACCTGCCATTTCCTTCTTTATTCTCCTCCTCCATTGAAGGAAATTCGTATGTTAAGTTTCTTCTTGCTCATCCTTCAAACAATTTGTTAATGTTGTATCCAATAATACCAAAAGACACGAGGAGAGTTTAGTTTGCAGGCACTATCTTGGTGAATATTGCAGAAAGCTGTAACCCCATTTCTTGGGGTGGGAGTCAGTTTGCACAATGCAGGTTGTCTGAAGTGTGATGTCCAACCAGGCACATTGCTGATGCTCAGTGAGTCGGGTCTCCAGACTTGTGATGACAGTCTAAGGAGCACAATATTTCTGGGACCATTCCCCATAAAGAGCAAGGGCCATCCACCTCCTTGAACAGCAATTTGGTAGGTAAACGTAGAATGTTACGAACTTCTAATCCTAAAAATGTCACCAAAGTCCAAGTTTCCAGAGGCTTTCTGCAGCAATGACAGACACACCCTTCACCATTAAGGAAGGTAAGATATTTGAGAGGACCTGAATATTTTAAGGAAGAACAGATTTTTATTTTTCAATCTAAATTGATCTGGGGAGAAAAGCCTTATAACTAAAAGATCAAAACAAAAACAAGAACAATAAGCTGGGCACTGATAATTCTATCTACTCTGGAGGCTGAGATCTAAGCATCATGGTTTGAAGCCAGTCAGGACACGAAGAGTCTCATCGAGAGACTCACCTCCAATTAACCACCAAGAAGCCAGAAACAGAGCTATGGCTCCAGTGGTAGAGCACTAGCCCTAAGCGAAAAAGCTGAAAATGTCAAGGCCCTGAGTTCAAGCCCCAAGGCTGGCACACGTGTGCGCACGTACACACACACACAGACAAGAGTCCTTTTTCATTTAGGGAATTCTTTCTATACTCTTACAATAGACAATAATAAAAAAGAAGTAAGTTCCTTTATTATAAATTTATTCTGGAAACTGTGGTGGCTTTTAATGATTTTGCAAAGTGTTTATGAGAGGGGCGGAATGATTATCTGTCCCTTGCGTTGTTTCTGTATGTGCTCAGCCATCTTGCCCCCACTCCAAGGGTCACCTGAAGGGTCACTGCTTCAGGGGACTGCTCCTCACCATGAATGTGGGCCAGGTTCCTATTTCTGTTTCACTTCTTTGCCAAAGGCACGCAGTGTGGCATCTTTATTTGGCAGGACTAGGGTGGGAAGCAAATAAAACTGCAAATATATGTACATTGTAGAAAAGCAACATTCTATAAAAAGTAAAAAAACAAAACCATGACCCACCCTCTCCCAGAAATAGCTGACAACTCATGAAATCCTGAGCTTTCCTTCCTTCCACAGTGACGAATCTGTTCCTATTTGCCTCATAAGATCCCCTGGGATCTTAATGCTTGAGCTCTCTTCATCTTAACGCTCCAGGCCTGAAGCAAACTCAAGATGAAATCCTCTCCCTGTTTGGCTAGAACTCCAGGTTTTATATTCATTCACTCTTGCAAAAAGTTCCAGCTCAGTTTGCCTCATTTTGATGTTGGATCTAAAGTTAATAAGGCCCCTCAGCTCCTCACCCCACCCAGGACAATGGTGGCTGGCAACATGTTTAACTGGCCAGCATGTTAAATTTGTATTTCAAGCCTCAAGCACTTGGGTTCCAATCAGTTCACAGACATCTGCTTATCCATGAAGATAGCCAAGGAAGCCCGGACAAACCTGGAAGTTAAACTGACAAACCCGGAAGTTAAACTAGAAGAAGGAAATCTTCACATCTACATGGTGCCTAGTTCTTTTTTTTTTTTTTTTTTTTTGCCACAACTTTGGCTGAGACTTTCCTTAATTGGCTTTCTGTTTCCCTAAAGGATCTACATCAGAAAAGGGGAAAAAAAGGCACAGGTACTTGGAGATTTTTCTAGGACAAAGGGAACTCCAAAGAGGCCCCTGTTTGCCTAAAAAGGAAGTCTGAAACAAGATGAGGGTTGCTTCAAATACCCTTTCTATTTTAAATCACTTTTTATTGTGGTGAATAAACTTACAAGAAACAAGACACTGCCTACTGGATAATGCGTGCTGTTGAGGGAACACTCTATGCTTTTTAGAGGTAGACTATTGTGTGGCATCTTTGTAGGATAAGGCCCTTATGTTCATGCAGGTAGTGGGTGGGTGGTACTTCTTTGCCTTTTCAAAAACAAGCCCCAAATGAAAATAAAAAGCCCAAAGAGTTTTCCTATGTAGTTTTTCTTCTTCTTTTTTCACGTTGTAAACAGAGAATGTTCAATCTTGTAATTTGAATTTTGCCTTTTTCTTCTCAGGGAATTTATAAAGGAGTTTCCATACACATCAAGAGAATTCCATTTTTCACAGTTCACAGAATTCTTGCCCTTATAGTCTCACTGGCAAATTGTTAGGGAAAAAAAAGAGTTTATTTACACTATTTCTGCTTTTCCATACCAGTCCTAATGTGAAGTTCACATTTAAAAATTCCCAACGGCAACTGCGTCTCTCCCTTCCAATGTCCACTCAATGGCTTATCGCCCAAGTTTCGAGCCAATGTCTAAAATGTACACTATTTACAAATGAAGTGTCCAAACTACCAGCCATCCAATCAGCAGGGCCCCTTGTGGAGTGTTGTCATGTGTTGGGATTCAGAATTTGAACAAGTTGATAAAGTCCTGGGGTGAAAGTGAAACAGAGCAGCTCTCTGGGTTGTTGGCTGTGCAAGGATGGTCAGTGCCCTGGAAAGGAGAGTTAGGGTTAGATTTCACTACTCAGAGGCAGCTTACTAGCTTTTGGCATAAGGAAGCATCAGACAATATCAAAACAACAATTCTCTGTCAAGTGGGCCCCAGCACTGGAAAAGCTCTGAGTTTTCTAGTGTGTGCTCCCATGCACCTGGAGATAGGAGGATTTAAAGGTGAATGGGAGACAGAGAAAAATCTCTGTGGTTCTTCCTCCTGTCCAGACACTGAATGTGTTTTACCCACTCCTTGAGCGAGGGGTGGAGACAGGAAAAGGGAGGAAGAGTAGGAAAGGACTCCGCCTCCTGTCACTGCACTGTTGACTCTCAGGGTCTGGCCCAAGATCTGTGATAGCCTCGTGTGGGACACATACCTTCCAGGAAAGGATATGGCAGTGTTTGCAAAGCTGCAGGGTGTCTCCATATTGCTCTTTCCTTGGATAACATCGGATAAGCTTAAAATACATCTTCTTCCAATCCAGCTGCCCTTTGTCTGACAAAATTAATCGCTTGCGGATCTAGAAATCAAATTAGTAAAAGTAACTGCAGAAGAGTTCCAGAGCACGGTTTGTGGTTTTCTAGATCTGAAAAATTCTGCTTCCACCCTCTTCTCCCCCACCACAAATCGTTTCTTTCTTTCTTTATCTCTATCTTATCATAGCAAAGGGAAATAATGTCAAGACATACAGAAGTACCTTCTTAGCTCTCCTTGAAGTAGTATCCAACCAGTCTTTGAAACAAATAGGTGACTGCTGACATCTTACTAATTATTGCTACCAAACTGTATTTAAGTGCAACTTTAAAGTTCAGAGCCTCTCCATAACCCACTTCAGCCTTTGCTTTGCTTTAGTTCTGAGTGACTATTTCACTGGAGATGCAGTTAACTGACACTATGGCTCTTTTATATTTAAGCATTAGTAGCTTCACTACTCATACAACTCACACATCTATATAAAGAAATTAGAAAATAAACTGGATGTGGTACATGTCTTCAATCCCAGATACTCAAGAGGAGGAGACAGGAAGATCACAAAGTTTAAGCAAAAGGTTTGTGAGATCCTATCTGAAAAAAAAAAGCTAGGTGTGGTGGTAGCAAGCTTGTCATCCAATTACTTGGAAGACAGATTAAAGGATCACTGTTCATGGCCAGTCCTGGGTAAAAAGCATCAGACTTGAAAAAATGAACAAGACAGAAAGGGTTGTGGGTGTGGTTGTAGTTGGAGAGTGCTTGCTTAGCAAGTGCAAATTCAAATTCCAGTACCTCCAAAGTAAAAAATAAAAAAGAAGTTGGGGAAAAAAAACCTTTCAGGATAGTGTGAGGAGAGGGAATAAACTTAAAGCTGGAATCTGAGGATCCAAATTCAAATTCAGTGTTATTTGTTTCACCTAGAGAGCTGCTTCCCAAATTTGGACTGGCCACTCAGCCATTTGTGGCCTTGGTTTGTTGTCCGTCTGAAGTGGGAGTTTTAAAGTGCCTGTCTTCCCTGGGTCGTCAGCACGGGGGGGGGGGGGGGGGGGGGAAGGAATGTCTGTGGCAGCACTTGGATTATAATGCACCATAAAAACATACCTTTTTTTTTTTTAAGGAAAGGAAGTATACCAGTGATGATTTTTTTTTGTTGACTTGTAAAAAATATAATTAGGTTAATATTTTTTTCATCAAAACAATAAAACTCAAACCCAAAACTCTCTCACTCATTTAGAAGCTCTTCAAATGTAGTTTTCCAGGCAATGCAGGTTAGGCCTGGGGTGCCTATCCCTCGTGTTAGGGAAGGGGAGGGGAAGGCGGGCAGGCTGCTGGCCCCTTTACCTGCCGCTCAGAGAAGTGGTACTGGCAGAGTTTCTTCCACAGCAGCCTGTCCTCACTGAGCACATGCAGGTCTGGGGCCACCTGGCCAAGGCTGACCAGGTCCCGTCCATCACTCAACCTTTGCAAGATATTCAGTTGTAAGCATAAAGGCAGGTCAGTGAAGGTGAGGCCTTTGAAGGCAGGCTGCAAGAGAGGATAACAGCTGGTGAGAGGCTGCGGGTCCGTGAGCCACTGCGCCCCTCTTGACACCCTCCCAGGAGGCCACTGGCCTGCGGTCCTCCACTTTCAAGCTGGCTGATTGTCAGGAGTTAAAAGCAGTGATGGTCCCCATCCTCCATACAGAAGTCATACAGAGAGAAGCCTGCAGTGGCTGGCACTGAATGGTGCCACAGGCCTTTTCCTGCTCCACTGCTCAATCATACACTCTCAGCCTTCCCACGGGTCATGGCCCCAGAAAGAGTGAGTGTCCCAGCCTGACATCTCACTGTCCAGTGTCACCTTGGGGCCTTCTACCCAAATACAGCCCCAGACACATCTTCCTATCTACGCACAGTGCCCTTCCTGGGCCTCTTTCCTTTCCCTTAGGATAGGAGTTGCTTTGGCAATTCCCCCAGCCCCATGCATGGAACTTGCCTAGAACATCTAAGATCTTCAATTATGTACCCCCACAACCCACAACCCTGAATTGGTACATCCCTGCTGCATCCTGAAGGCAAGGTTTTTTTTTTTAATCTGGTTCTGCTGCTGTGCCCCTAGGGTCCAGAAGAGGGCTTGGAACAGAACACACACTTGGCAGATATAGGTAGAACGAATGAAACCTGCATAGTTTTAACTGAATAGTGTAAAACAGGTTTTTTTTTTTGAAAGAACAATAATACTGTGTTTGTGTGTCTGTGTGTTTGTATTTGTGTGTGTATGTAATGTGTACGTGTGTACATGAATCTATGTTTGCACGTATGCGTGTGGATCTGTGCATATAAGTTTCTGATTTGTGTGTGTTGTATTTGTGTACGTATGCAGGTATGTCTATGTATCTATAAATGTATGAACGTGTATGTCTTGTCTCTGTGTGTATGTGCAGACTATAGATTTTAGCGTGATACTGTATAATCTGAGAGGTCACAGAATAAAATAAGCACAGGATGAAGAAACCTTTCCTTACCCTGGCAATGGGTATTACGTTCCCTCATCAAATTTTTAGTAAGAGAATTCCTGCAGGGAACAGAGGAGAGGAAACAAAGGCCAAACCCACGGAGGAAGGATTTCAGGGCTCACTCAGGCCCAGCAATTGCCTGTGTCCATGCAAGGCAGGACTGGCATGCAGAGGGAAGGTGGGCAGTGGCACTGGGCCTTGACAAGGAGGACCAGTGAAGAACAGAAGTGGCTAGGCAGCAGAGTGGGAGTCCAGGCATCTTTGGGAAATCACATCAGTATTTGCCAAGAAAAATGACCAGATTTAGAAGGCAGCAATGGTCTCTCCAGTTCTAACAGTCTCCAAATTGGGCCTCCTGTTTCATCAAAGTGTCTGTGACTCCACATTTTGATCTCTCACTTCTCTCAGGTTGCTCGGCTGGGCTTTTCGTTGCTTGTAGTGTTCAAGAGCTGGTGTGACTGCATAAAGCTGTAGACTATTTATCATCTGTTGCTAATCATGTGAGCTAATAAAACTGCCATGAGATTTTCCTTTGGTTTCCAACACTTCAAAGCCTCTACTTTTTTATTTAATTTTTTTTTTGTTAAAAATGCCCAGGCCAATTACTACATTAACTTTATTAAAGGCAAGTCCACTTGGCAAAGTTCACTCTGTCAAATTTTCAAACCTGAACTTTTCCAAAATCCTTGCCTAGACCCCCATGCCAAACTCCTACTGCTGATAAATGGTTAACTGCTTGTGCGCCTTGCTGGTTGGCTGTAAATGTAAAATAAAAACTCTTGCTTCTCTAGTGAAGCATTTGGCTAACATCCACTTATGTCTCTCTGCCTCCCACGTTTCAAAACCTTGCCTTGCCCCTGGCACTGTAATTATATTTCATTTTCCCTCTACAAACCAGTTCCTTTCATTTTTTTCTCCCTTCATCCTTTATTAGTTGAATTACAGTTGCCAACAAAAATTCATTCCAAAGAATTAGATATGAAGATTTCGAAGGAAAAGGAGATTATATACTGGAAAGATATCCATTGGATTTTGGCACGTATTTACTATGAAAGCCACCTTTAATATGTTCGGGGAATAACATACTTCTCTTAGTCCTAAACTCTTAGGAAGAATGTTTTAAAATACAATCTGCATTGAAGTAATGAAGTCCTCTCTGTCTCTTCTTTATCCTCTCTCTGCAGAGTTAAGCATTTATGGGAAAAGTTCTTCAGAGCTCTATAAAGATTCCAGTTCAGCTTTCAAACATTAAATAGAGCTCAGGGCCCAGGAGGGTTGGGACTGAGAACGTGGTAGATGAGAGAACAAGGGTTAAAAGGATAGCTTGGTCTTGGCAAAATGATACCTGGCCCTCCATATCTGTAGATTCTGTATCTTCAGTCAAAATGAACCAGCGGTAGAAGATATTCAGAAAAACCAGGTCCTATTCTTAGCTACTTGGGAAGCTAAGATTGGGAGGATCACAGTTCAAGGCCAGGCCAGGAAGAAAAGTGTTCAACACCTCTTTTCAACAGATAGCTGGACAAGGTGTTGCATCTACTATTTTAGCTATAACAAAAAGCCTAGGTAGCTCTCAGGCAGGAAGCAAGACCCTATCTCAAATATAGCAGAAAATCAGGGCTGAAGGTATGGCTTAGTGGTAAGAGCACCTTTGTAGCAAGTGGGACCCAGAGTTCACACCATAATACAGTGAGAAAATAAAAACGTGCACATATACTGAGCACGTGCAGTTTCTTTTTTCTTGTCATTCTTCCTTAACATAGCTATTTGCATAGCATTTACATAGAATTAAATATTGTGGGCTTTAGGGAGAATTTAGAGGAGGATATATGTAGGTTATATGCAATTGTTACACTATTTTATTTTGAGACTTAAGCATTCATGGATTTTGGTGTCCTCAGGAGTCTTTTTTTTTTTTTTTTTGGGTCTGGTCATGGGGCCTGAACTCTAGGCCTGGGCGCTGTCCCTCAGCTCTTCAGCTCAAGGCTAGCGCTCTACCACTTGAGCCACAGCGTCACTTCTGGCTTTTTTCTTTTTGCTTATGTGGTGCTGAGGAATCGAACCCAGGGCCTCATGCATGCAAGGCAAGCACTCTACCACTGAGCCATCTTCCCAGCCCAATGTCCTCAGGAGTCTTGAAAGCAATCTCCTATGGATACTGGGGACAAATATATTCTTTTTTTTTTTTTTTTGTGCTGATCCTGTGACTTGAACTTGGGGACAAGGCACTATCACTGAGCTTTTTTGATCAAGGCTAACAATATACCATTTGAGTCACACCTCCACTTCTGGATTTTTTGAGTGCTTAATTGGAGATAAGAGTTTCACGGACTTTTTCTGCCCAGGCTGGCTTTGAACTATGATCCTTGGATCTTAGACTCCTGTGTAGTTAGGATTACAGGCGTGAGCTACCGGTGCCTAGCTTGACAAATATGTCCTTAACTCCTCAATCTAATTGTTTCTCATTTATAAAATGAAGAAATGTGTGTTTTATAGCACTTTTGGGTGGGATGGATGAGATACTGAATGGAAGTCTTTAGCACAGTACCCAGTAAATTTTAGTCAATTATCCAAATTACACTTATTTGGTAGATGAGATAATTAATACACATGAAGGACTCAGAAGAATGTAAGGTTAAGAAAGGCCTTGATAATAACACTTGACACATTTACCATACTTTCTTTGTACCAGACACTATTCCAGCAGCTTTCTATAGACTCAAGAGCTCTCTCATAGGGCTAAGAGCTGGTGTCAGTGCACCAGTTTTCCAAATAAAGGAAATGAGGCCTGGAGACCCTGGATAACTTTCCTCAAACCTGTAGTTGGTAAATTACCATTATCATCCATCATCCAGGGCAGTATTTTCCCACTGTGTTGCTCTGAACACTGAGCGAGTACTTCTGCAAGCAGCGAGGAAGAAGATGGCCCTTCACCCATTCATTCATTCAACTTGAAACTTCCCGGCTGCCTTGTGCCAGGGAAAAGAGCAAAGATAGATAATGTCCTTTATGGAGTTTATAAGCCATGGGTGGAGATGAGGCACATGGGGCTAAGACGCCGGTGGACCTGCTCCCAGGAAGTGCTCTGAGGGAGGGGATAGGACAGGGGCTTCCCACATTGCTGGTCAGGGAAGAATCTGGGCTAAAGGTCCCGAGGCAGGACCAGCCTGGAGTGTGCACACAGCGGCTGGGAGGGCTTGAGCAGCTCAAGCACAGTGGACAGGGGATGAACTCCTGCTTAATCTCTTTTGCATCAGATTTCATAGGATTAAAGAAGGATTTTTCAAAGCTGGATCACTGGATAAGTAATTAGAAGAAGGTGAGGCGGGAGGAAGGCTTGGAGACTACTGACTGGCGCTCAGCAAGCTTTGCCATTTTAGGAACAAGGAGTCGAGGCTCTGACCTCAGCTTTAGGCCCATCTGCTGTGTAATGTGAGGAGAGCCACTGTGCTTCTCTGGTCTCTACTCCAGTTCCTTTCTATAAGGAACTATTTTGAGTTCCCAGATTTCAGCACCAAAGATAAGGAAATATTTCGAGGGCTGAAGAAGACTTGGGTGCCTTTCTCAGGTTGTTCAGTCCAATAAACCTGTTGGCCTGTGAGTTTGTCTTTTTGATCTTTTAAAAATTTATATTCCAGGGGCTGGGAAGGTGGCTCAGTGGTAGAGCGCTTGCCTTGCATGCCTGAGGCCCTGGGTTCGATTCCTCAGCATCATATAAGCAAAAAGAAAAAAAGCCGTAAGTGGTGCTGTGGCTCAAGTGGTAGAGCGCTAGCCTTGAGCCGAAGAGCTGAGGGATAGCGCCCAGGCCCAGAGTTCAGGCCCCATGACTGGACCAAAAAAAAAAAATAGTTTTTGGAAGATGACCTGTACTTGTGTGTGTGGGTATGTGTGTACCTGTGTATGTAGCTGAAGTGATTCTAAGAAAGTTACAAAACTCTGAAGCTTTTAATTATTCCTTGCTGTAGAGTTTAAGAAAGCAAGACCCAGGGGCTGGGAATGTGGCTTAGTGGTAGAGTACTTGCCTAGCATGCATGAAGCTCTGGGTTCGATTCCTCAGTACTACATATACCGAAAAAGCCAGAACTAGTGCTGTGACTTAAGTGGTAGAGCACCAGCCTTGAGCACAGAGAGGCTCAAGGACAGTGCCCAGGCCCTGAGTTCAAGCCCCAGGACCAGCAAAAAAAAAAAAAAAAAACAAAAAACAAGATCCAGAGAAACCATTGACATAACAGTAAAGCAAAGGAAGTGGCTTCTGAAACTTCTTACAGTAAAATAGTTATTGAAGAGGCTGAGGTTTCAATATGCTACCTCCTCCTGATACAGTACAACCCAAACTTTTATCAGTGTGGATTCCGGAAGCCATTAACAGCCACATCCAGTGATTAGATAAGTAAGCAGAGTGCTATGTGAGCTGCTTAAGTGTCTGTCCATTAGTGAGCCCTGAGCCGTTACTGCATTGTAGTGTCCTTTGCGTTTTGATTAGTGAGCCCTGAGCCGTTACAGCACTGTAGTGTCTTTTGCGTTTTGTGTGCTTTGGTCCTTCTGCCTCACTATTAAGGGGACAAGAATAGAGGGGGAGTTACATTTTGAAAGCCAAAAGCAGCTACTGACAGAGGTAGGTATGCTTTGCTGCTAACATACAGCTTTAAAAATAAAATTCAGTGAGAATGCTCACACTCTTTTTCTTTGTATATTCACAGTACTATAGAAGAAATCAGAATTTTTTTTTTTGTGCCAGTCCTGGGGCTTGAACTCAGGGCCTGGGCATTGTCCCTGAGTTTTTTTCTCCTTTTTTTTTTCTCAAGGCTAGTGCTCTACTACTTGAGCCACACCACCACTTCCAAGAATCAGAATTAAAAACAATTTTTTTTTTGGCTGGTCTGAATGTTTGAAGCCAGGGCTTAGGTGCTGTCCGTGAGCTCCTTTTGTTTGAGGTTAGCCCTTTACCACTTCAGTTATAGTTGCATTATTAGAGATAAGGGTAGCCAGGCGTCGGGTGGCTCACACTTGTAATCCTAGCTACTCAGGAGGCTGAGATCTGAGGATCGAGATTCAAAGCCAGCCCAGGCAGGAAAGTCTGTGAGACTCTTATCTCCAATAAACCACTAGAAAACTGGAAGTGTCACTGTGGCTCAAGTGGTAGAGCACTCACCTTGAGCTGAAGAGCACAGGGACAGCGCCCAAGCCCAGAGTTCAAGCCCCATGACCAACCAAAAAAAAAAAAAAGTAGAGATAAGGGTCTCATGCACATTCCTGTCTGCACTAGCTTTGAACTGAGATCCTCAGATGTTAGCCTCCTGAGAACCTAGGATTATAAGTATGAGCCTTTGGCACCCAGCCAGGAACCAGAATTTTAAAAGGCTGGTGCCAGTTCACCAAGCCACTGCCTGCATGGGCTCCACTGTAGTTAAGACAGCATCAAACAATTCATTTTTTAAAAAAGTTTTCACCCTGAGAAAAAGAACAGAGATCCTCAAAATCCACTGGGACAGCTGGCATCACCTCCAAAGCCAACTTCTCAATTCACCATTATAATGTTTCAATTAGCGGTCATCTTTCACATCTTTCCATTCCATTTTACCAAGTGATTGTCGTTCCCCCCCCCTCCCTGCCCACAGCACCAGGATAAAGGGTGTCATCAGAAGAGGCCAGATTCCTCCCTCACCAGCCCTGGCACTCAGTGCGGCTGTGCAGCTTCCCTGTGGGAGGTGGGGCCTGTCCTGCTTACCCTGGTGATCTGGATGTTGTTCAGCTGTTGCTGCCAGTGTAGAATAGTCTCCATCCGATACACCCACATGTTGATGTTTCCCACCAGCACAGACTTGCCCACTCTTTGGACCAATGTGCAGAGGGAGGTGTAGAGGGTCTGCAGTAGCTCCCTTATAAGTCTAATGTTTTGTTGGTCTTCAAGAACTTGAGTGGGGAAGAAAACAAATATAATCCCAAGTTATGATACTAAAACTGCGAACATTTTATTTGAAGGTTTTTCTTCTTCTTCACCTGCTCCTCTCACCTGGACACTGCCTCTGGGAATGTTTTTTTTTTTTTCATTTTTTAAAAACACTTGGCAAAGCTTTAGTGCTGGAGGCCAGCTGGTAGAGTTTCCATTGATCTAGGACCCTCTTTGTTCTTCTCTCCTTTCTGGGTTTTTATATGAAGCCCCCTCCTTTCCCTATTGTTCTACTACTGTTAATGGCTCACCTGATTGGAAAGTCACTTCTTACTCAGCAGTGAGATCTTCTGGATGGTCAGTGATTTCACTGTTTGGAATCTGGGTTCTAATCCTGTCTAACTAATTTCTTTGTCATGATAGACAAAGCGCTTCTCACATGCCTCTGTTTCCCTGGGTATACAGTGACCTAGTGGAGCCAGAGACCCAAATCTCCCTCTTATCTCCAGGTCTATGAAATCTTGTCTGCATTGCAACTCTATTTTCTAGGAATCTGGCTAAGTAAATCACCAAAGGTGGGACCAGGTTTTTACTGAAAAGCATTTGAGACTTAAAGCAGGGCAAATGGATGATCCCAAGGAAAGGATGGGAGAGTGGCGGTCTCTTTCTTTGTTCCTCCCCCATTTTTGGCAGTAGCGGTGTTTGAACTCAGGTCTGTATATGAGTTTGAACCCCAGGCTTGCCTGGCAGGTGCTCCACCACTTGAGCCATACTCACACTCTTTCTTTTCAGTTTAGTTGTTTTTCAGGTAAGGTCTCACAACTTTCCCCCTCAGGCCAGCCTTAGATTGCAATCCAGACTTCCATTTCACAAGTAGCTCTATCATATATATGGACCACCATATCCAGCTTGTTGGTTGAGATGGAAGTACCATTAACCTTTGGCTGGGCTTCCCTCAAACTGTGATCCTCCCATTTCTACCTTTCAAGTAGCTGTGGTTACAGACATGAGCCACTACTTCTGGCTCTACGCCTTTCTGAATTGGAATCTGGCACCCCTCAAATGCAACTCGAATTATTCATTTCCATTCACTTGCAATACTTTGAATCTAATGACATGTCAACTGTGTCAGAAAATCCACCTGCGCCACACCTATAAACCGGGCCAGAGAGTGCAAGAGATCTCACCTTTTAGTACCACTTTTTCCAAAATGTTCATGAAGTTCTTTTGAGCAATGCCACTCAGGGATGTGAGCTGTGACTTTGCTATCAGTTCCAACAGCTGTGGATAAAAATAGAAGTCGCCAGGCTTAGAATACAGAGATATTTTTCTCTTCTAATCTTTGCTTTTAAGTCACATGACCCATAGATACAGACTGAAGGAGAGAGATAAATGGTAGTTAGGGAGATGGGGCAATAAAAAGCAGATGCTCAAAGCAAAAGACAAATGGGGGGTAATTCAAAACCCAGGAGTTAAGCTGAGTATCTCATTGCTTTATTTTTTTTCACTCCTTTTAAATATAAAGAGTTTTGGCTTCAGCCAATGCTGTTTCCTTTTACTTTTCCAAGTTGGGCAATCAGAGCTGACAGTACTCTGAAAAGAACAAAACCTTCCATGACCTGTGAAAATCTGAGCTCTGTGAAGTTGTCCGAGTGGGAATGGTTTTGCCCTCACTCGAACTTTTTCCCCACCAGAACCTAACAGCTTATGTTTTGCAACCATGTGCATTTTCTAAGGAAGGGGCAATTCTTTTTCAGATAGCTCCTGCTGCTCATGCAGTGGTTCAACAAACATGCCACATCATGAAGGTTTCTGGCTGCTTTTAAAATTCTCAAGAAAGAGGGCAGGCAACCCTAGGGAAGGAGAGAAGTTCAGGGAGACACAAAGTATATTTTTATGTATCTCCCTGGAGACAAGGATGACACTGTGGTGAAGATCTAGGATCCTTGGAGCATTTTTTTTTCTGGTCCTGGGCTTGAACTCAAGGCCCGGGCTCTGTCCCTGAGCAAGCGTCTTTTGCTCAATGATAGCACGCTACTACTTGAGTCACAGCTCCACTTCCAGTTTTCTGGTGGTTAACTGGAGATAAGAGTCTCACAGACTTTCCTGCTCAGGCTGGCTTTGAACTATGATTCTCAGATCTCAGCTTCCTGAGTAGCTAGGATTACAGGCATGAGCCACTAACACCCAGATCCTTGTAGCATCTTAAGTCTTGATTGAGTCTTGATTTGACCACTCATCAGTGCTGTGATTATTAGCAAGTCAACAAGTCTCTTGACATCTTTTTTATCTCCACTAATAATATTCACCCTCCTTAAGGCTGTGGTGAGCTTTACATAAGAGAATGCATACAAAGGGCCAAGTAAAACTGAGGTGCTAAATAAAAGTTGGTGGTTTGCTGATGGACTATACTCCTTCCTACAATCCCCACTATTGACAAATGAAAAAGAACTATAATAACTGAAGTTGGTGTGTCCTTCATTCAGTCTTTCACATTCTATACAGACATTTTAAGATCTTAAAAGAAAAAAAAGCCAAGATTCTGTTTTCTAAAGTGAAACATTAGATAGCCAGGTATCTTTGAAATCATCTTGTTCAATCCATTTTTCCCAGAAGAGCAAAATGAGACTGAACAGAATAAGCCTTCTGAAGCATTCCATGACCCATGAGCGGACTCAGCAGTGTTCTGTTCAACACAGGAAAATGAAGAGGAAACACATCATGCTTTTGAAGAGTCACCAAACAAAAGGGTAAGTGAAAACAAGTTTGTCAGAACAAAGGAAAACCAGGTCTCCAAGAATAATTGGCCAGGCAATGGTGGCTCACGCCTGTAATCCTAGCTACTCAGGAGGCTGAGATCTGAGAATCACGGTTCAAAGCTAGCCTGGGCAGGAAAGTCTGTGAGACTCTTATCTCCAATTAACCACCAGAAAACTGGAAGTAGCACTGTGGCTCAAGTGGCAGAGCTCTTGCCTTGAGCCGAAGAGCTTAGGGACAGTGCCCATGCTCAGAGTTCAAGCCCACAACTGACCAAAAAAAAAAAAAAAGAAGAAAAAAGGAATAACTGAATTCAGGCTTAGTAAACTAGACCCAGAAAACCAAGACTTCTCATTTCTCAGCATCTCTGCTACTTAGAATCTTGTATTTGCTCAGGCCCTCAGTCGACTTTGTCTCAGGTTTATTAACATGGACTATGATACATGTTAGGTTCTGCAGTAAAAGCTGGAGGAAATAGCAAAATGGAATTTACAAAATTGGCTGGGGGCTGGCAGCTCATTCCTAGAATCTTAGCTACTAAAGAAGCTGAGATTTGAGGGTTGTGATTTGAAGCTAGTCTGGGCAGGAAAGTCCATGAGACTCTTATCTCCAGATATCTATCAAAAACACTAGAAGTAGAGTTGTGGCTCAAGTGGTAGAGCATTAGCCTTGAGCTTAAAAGAGGCTCAGGGACAGTGGGGGTAGGCCCTAAGTTCAAGCCCCAGGATCAGTGCGCGCGCGCACGCGCGCACACACACACACACACACACACACACACACACACACACACACACACACACACACACACACACACACACGCTACTAAAACAGAAAAAAAGAAAAGAACAAAAAGCCCATGAGGAGCTAGAAGAAAAAAAAAAATCAAACCTGCACTACCACCTTGCATTAATGTTTCAGTTCAGAATACCTCTGCTTCCTAGGCATTTAAGCACTGTGACCCCAAAGCCCTTTGGGTGCCTGTCAAACCACCAATAGACTCAATTTCTGGAACATAATTTTAACTCTACATTGAAAGACAAAGCCCCACATGCCTCTCTGGCCTGGCTGCTGTAATTTTCATACGTGCAGGGAACAACAAAAGCCAGCTGACCGGGAGAAGGACATGAGACTCTGTTAGGATCAGTCTGACGCTCTAAGACTAGGGAAGCCAAGAGATGCCAGAAATCAAAACACCCAGAGAGGCCATGTCTGTATACTCTCTGCCTGTCTGGTTTAGTTCTGTCACCATCAGCACGTGACAGTCAAGAGAACAAGTGAAAAAAAAAGGTACAAAGGGATTAGCCAAACCTTTCATTTATCACTCTGACCAGCAGCAGGATCCAGAAGGCCAAGCTGGTGGTTTATTAATACTCAGAATCTCACATGACGAGCCCAAAGCAAGATGAAAGAAAACAAAAGCCCTGAGCTCATTCTTGCAGGGCAGTTGGCTGAGCACTGTGACTCATCACTGAGGGGGAGGTAGGGCAAGGGGCAAGAGAAGGCAGGCAGCGCTCAGCCTGCAATCTATCCAAAACCCGTGGTCCATGTGACCACCGGCTCCCGAGGATGTCAGTTTTAATCTCATCTAAAAATGCACCAACCACAGGGACAAGAAAAGTGAAGGGCATGACTGTGCAGTTAAGGGGAAACAAAAAACCCTTTGGACTGGCTGAGATTATTTTCTTTGACTAAGGAGGGGGAGGGGTACAGTAATAAAAATTTGTCAACTGACAGCAGAATGATGTGTCCACTACTCTGTTTCACCCTGTCTCAAAAGAAAGTCTCCCTCCCCAGCCTCTCATTTTAACTGCCAGGCAGCTATGGGACGCTGGGAATAGGAGAGCTAGAATCTCTGGTTGGGTGACCTTTACAGCTGTCATTCATGAGGCAAGAATTTTTGAGAGTGCACTCTATCTTAGCATTGCGGAGGTGACAGGGTTATGACGATAAGGACATATGATCTCTAGACTCATCTAGTCTAGTCATCTATCAACCGCAGCGCCCCGCCCCCTCCTCCTATGCCCCCCTCCCCCTCCCGTGCCTCTGGTACTGGGGCTTGACTCAAGGGACGCACACTCTCCCTTAGCTTTTTTGCTCAAGGTGGGACTCTACATTTGAGTCACATCTCTACTCTGGCTTTTTGCTGGTTAACTGAAGGTAAGAGTCTCACAGGTTTTTCTGCCTGGGCTAGCTTTAAACCTTGATCTTTAGATGTCAACCTTCTGATCAAGATTATATGCGTGAGCCACTAGCACCCAGTTCTATTTCTTCGTTTCTGAGATGGCAATAGCAAGACTACCTATATCATAGGATGGTAACATGATTCAAGTGAGATAAATATATAAAAATCCAACTTTAAATACCAAATATAAGACATTAGTACAATAAGTAACACTTCTTGCAAATTATGGTCTTTTAGGAATTCTTAAAATTCATATCTGGTTGGCAAGTTTCTCCTGTGAAAGGCCAGACACTACATATTGTAAAGTTTTTGGGTCCTCTGGTTTCTGCAGAAATACTCAGCTCTAAAGGGGTAGTGCGAAAGTAGCTGTAAACAACATGTAAATGAGTGTGCATGGATATGTTCCAATAAAACTTTATTTACAAAACAAGCAGATGTGGACCCTGGGCCAACTTCTAGTATATAACATAGAATATAAGATTGAGGGCTGGGCGCTGGTGGCTTACACCTGTAATCCTAGCTACTCAGGAGGCTGAGATCTGAGGATCACAGTTCAAAGCCAGCATGGGCAGGAAAGTCCTTGAGACTCTTATCTCCAGTTAACCACCAGAAAACTGGAAGTGGCACTGTGGCTCAAATGGTACAGTGCTTGCCTTGAGCTGAAGAGCTGAGGGACAGCGCCCAGGCCCAGAGTTCAAGTCCCACAACCGACCAAAAAAAAAAAAAAGCAAAAAGGAAAAAAAAAAAGATTGAGGGTTCCAGAGCCACTGTCTCAGTTTTTCCATGTAGAAACTGCATAATAATAGTTCTTACTTCACAGTTGTTGAGATTAAAAGCCTTCATAAAACCCAATTGTGCCTGGAACTAAGAATATATTTAAGAGTGTTTTCATTGGCTTATATAATAATACAAACCATTGTCAGATAAAATTACTGACAAACAGATAATAGTGAATTAAATAAGACCTCATATTTCAATCGTATGTGTTGTCAACTAAATGCTTTCAGATTTTAATATTCCTTTCTGTTATCTCTATTATATTTGTGACACATCTAATAGTTCCCCATCTGTTGATAAGAGTTAACACTGATACCTTGTATGGCTTGCATACCTGCACTTGGTATGAAGTCTTATTTTGCTAAAAACAATGTGTATTTCCTCTGTCAGCCCAAGGCAGTAGTTTTCCCATGTGACAAATCAGGACACCAAAGTTCAGAGAGGTTAAATAAGTCATGTAAGATAACTAGCAGTAGCAAATGGTAGAGTCAGGACTCTGGACCATACATATATATTCTCTGCTCTTGCTTGCTCTGTGAGGGAGAGCAGAGAATATCTACTTTAA